TCCCTATTAGAAGTCAAGAAAATATGTTTTCAATTAGACTAGAAACTGATGGCCCCGTAATCAGAGGAACATTATGTGTAAAATAAATTGCACACTGTTCCCAACAACTGTTCTGCCACTGTTGCTTAAGAAATGAGGTATTCAACGGCAGATTGTCTTCGGAAAATACTTGTGGTGCCCTACTCTGGAAGTGTGTGTCTCTCTTCACCATCTCTCTCCTCTGTTTCTCTGAACTGTGATCCAGCCAGTTTTAATAAAGTCTGATCTAGGCTAGATACGTGGTGCCAAAATACACTAAAAAAAAATGGGTTAAGGGCTACAGGAGAACACCTTCATACAGAGCACGTTTAATAGTTCAGTAAGGGCCAGACAGTGCCACAGCAGTAACTCTACACTCTGCAAGGGTGACACACATAGGAAGGTTTTGGGTTCAAGTCTGGAGACCTCCTTGAATATGCTGTGTATACATACCCATAAACGTGGAGCTGGCTAAGGCTCTCAGGCACTGGACTGTGGCTTCAAGGACCCATTGGGGGAGCAATCTCTCTCTCCCTCTTTCTCTCCTCCCTTCACTGGTTCTTGGAAGAAACAATAAAATAAACTTTAAAAATTAGTTCAGTGGGGACCAGCAGATGGTGTAGCCTTTACATTGCTGGACTCTTACATGACCGACCATGGTTCAGGTCCTGGGTCTAGTGGCTTGAAAATCATGCTGGGTGGGGCTGGCAGGTGGTGTGGTGGTTATAAGCACTGGACTTCCACGTGGCCAACTGCGGTTTGAGTCCCGGACCCGGCAACTTGCTTTTTCACTTTCTCTCACCTTCTCTCTCTCTCTTGCTCTATCCTTCTCTGATCAAATTTTTAAAAAGAAAGTTAAATAAAATAAATCTTAAAAAAAAAAGAAAAGAAAAGAAAATCATTCTGGGTACTTGTGTGTGTGTGTAATCAAGATGCTGGGAAGAGAATGGAGAAAGGATTGCAGTGTGGTCAGCTCCCAGGGAGGTGATTTCTCACTTTCCCTCTCACTGTCTCTGTCTCTCTGTCTCCTATGAGCACACATGCCATAAGGCAAAAACCTCTAAAAAAATAAAATTGGTTCAGTAGAGAAAGTAAGCTCAGAGAGCACTAATTTAATTCAATTTGAATGCATCACAGGTTCTCATATAAATCCACTAATAAATCAATGATTTTTTACTTTTTAATTTTTTGTATTTTTTTTTAGGATTGTGCCATAGGATATGTATGTTCACTAGAGAGAGAGAGAGAGGGAAAGTGAGAAATCCTTCCCGAGGTAGCACAGCCACACTATAATCCCTTCTCCTCCCAGGATTTTGGGCATGCATGCACACACATTCAGAGTGATTTTCAAGTCACTGGGTCTGGGATTTGAACCATGGTCGGCCATGTGAGAGTCCAATGCTTTCACCACCATGCTACTTGCTGGTCCCAATCAGTGAAGTTCTGCAAACAGATACCCACCTAAATGAGAAAATGTTTGTTAAACAAATAAACAAGACAACATAAAAGCAGCATCCTTAGAGTTAACATTTATTGTATACTGAAAATACATAAAATCATGATTTCACGGTGTGATATTATGACAGGCCTTTTGAGATTATTATGTATAGACCTTGACTATGTCCAGCATACTAAGGCAGTCAGATAAGATAATTTTTAAAAGATAGTTCAATTTCCTAAAATATCCTTATAAAAAAACTAACGTTATAGATTCATATGTCCAAATAAATCATCTTTAGCTTATGCATAACTGTATAAGTCTTTGAATATGCAATGGCGCTTCCTCTGCCCTCCCTCCTGGATAAGGATGTGTTTGAGCCACCATTAATCACACATGAAACAGGAAACCTTCAGGTTTGAGTTCCGGTCTGGTAGAATTGTCCTTTCAGCCGTCCAGCGTGGCGATAACTGCCGCTGCATTTGCCATACTGCCCAGTCGTGGAGCCACTGCAAAGATGATGTCAGGCATTTGATGGAGCATTAGCAAGTCATGAGCAACTTCTTCCCCCTTCTAAAATAAGGCATCATAAGCTTTTACATATCACTTAGCTCAGTGTTAGGTCAAATTTTTATACACAATAGTCTTCCTACTGGGGGGGCCAGCAGGTGGAGTATGGTTAAGGGTGCTGGACTCCCACATGGGTGACCATGGTTTGAGTCTCAGACTTGGCGGTTTGCTTTCTCACTGCTCCCCTCTTCCCACTCTGTTCCTCTCTGATCAAATTAAGATAAATAAATAAATAATGTTAAATTAAATAATTCTTTTTAAAAAAATAGTCTTTCTACTGGGATTGTTTCAAGATTAAGAATTGCAGGACTGTGGGCCACGGAGTGGCATAGTGATTAAGGTGCTGGACTCACACGTGGCTGACCAGCCTCGAGTCCTGGACCCAGGTAGCTTGAAAATCATGCTGGGTGTGCATATGTGTGTGCTCAAAATACCCAGAGGACAATGGAGGAGCATGGCCATCCCCGCTGGGGGTTGATTCATCACTTTCTCTGTCTTGACAAGCACAAGAGTCCTATGGCAAAAACCTAAAAAATAAAATAAAATTGCACTACCGTGATTAGGAAGACGTCTTATGCTGGTTAAGGGGCCTCTGTGATTAGGCCTGAGCCCCATTTATTACGTATTATGTAATTATAACAATTATACAACAGTACGTTAAACTTTGGAAAGTAATTTATATAAAAATATTGGAAATAGAACTTCCTCACTTAAATTAATTCCTGGGGATATTTTCCATATTATTAAGTGAATAATTAAATGTAATCCAAGATAAGGGATACATGTTCTAAGAATTCAGAAGAGAAGAATTTTATGAACACAGATGCCAACATAATAAACTTGTAATGCCATTTCTCTATCTCAGGGACTTAATCTCTGTATCCAAGAAATGGGACAATCTTTTTGTTTGATTCTTCTGTAGAGAGAACCCCAAATGGCTCACCCAGAGCAGAGCCTCAGAACGCCATCTTTCTAGTTGATAGAGCTGCTGGTTTACAGCACAGTAAGTAGGACATAACAGAATGTAGGAAATGGTTATCTTAAGAAAGATAAACTAGGGGCCAGCAAGTGGTGTGGTGGTTAAGACAGTGGACTCCCATGTGGCTGAATGTAGTTTGAGTCCAACACCTGGTGGCTTGTTTTCTCATTTTCCCTTTCTCTCGCTCTCTCTCTCATGAGTGCACATGCCCTATAGAAAAATTAAAATAACAATAATAAATAAAATTAAATAAATAAATTTTAAAGGATAAAACAATTGACCTATAAATCCTAATTTTAACCTCCTGACACATAATACTCATAGTCAAGACTAAAAGGATGCATTAATTCATCAAAAAAAAAATTTAGAAGTTTTGCCATAGGGTGCATGCACTCACTGGAGAGAGAGTGAGACAGAGACAGTAAGAAGGAAAGTGAGAAATCACCTACTGAAGGGGTTACCATTCTTTAATCCTTTCTCCTCCATTCTCTTCCTGGGATCATGCACATGCAAGCACACATACCCAGAGTGATTTTGAGGCCACCAGGTCCAGGACTTGAACCTGTGGGAGTCCAGCAATGTGACCATGATGCCATCTGCTGGCCCCAATTCATCAAATTTTAAAGTTAGCAGCAATGAACCAACAGCTATACTTAATTAAGTTGATATTTCACAATTCTGATAGAATAATTTTGAGTACTAGTTCTCCTACTAACTTAAAAACATTGCATAATTGTCTTAGGATTCGTATTCCTTCTATAATCATAGACTAACAACATAGGTAAATTGGTAAACACTTATTATTTTAATATCCTTATTTTATAGATGAGATAAGTGAGTCTTAGAGAGAATACCTGGTTAGAGATCAGAAATATGTAGGTTTTCTCTAGAATTTTTTTCACTTAAGATAATAAAAAACTAAAATGTAATTTCTCCACCATTGATTTACCACTATTACAGTGCCTATCTTTGTAGAACATATGTATGTAATTTATCCCTGGATTATAATTTTCTGTAATACAGAGGGCACATTCTATGTGGTTTTCTTTCTAGAAATAGGAAGACTGGGTTGATGACAACTCAAGTAAGTAAAAACCAGCATGACGACACATGCATTATTTTCTGAGCTCTGGCAGTGACTTATTTTCTGACATTGTAGAGGCTTTCTGGTTTCTCTAAACTTCATGTTAACTGATTTGAATAATAATTATCATAATGGTTAACATTTATTGAAATATTAACTGTATGCCATGCACTCTAATATATATTCTAGTATGTCCAAACAATCCTGAAAATTAAGAGGCAGAGTCCCCATTTTATAGAGGAAGGTGAGAATCAGGGGCTGTAAATGATTTACTGAGGTCAACGACAAGAAAGAGGCTGCCTTGATCTGAGCCCACACCTCTCTGCTGCTATAGCCCATGCTTTCATTACATTTCAACACCCCTAGTTTATACCAGGTGTCATGATCATGTGTCTTCCCTTTTAGAGAAGTAATATTCCATCTTGTGCTTTATTATTTCATTCATTACTGTATAGGAACAACAATGGTAAATATTACTTACTTACAATGTACCAAAATGTTTTAAGTGTCATATAGAGCTTGGGTTAATGACAGAACATGTAACAAAATAATAATAATAAAATAAATAGAAGTATAACACTAGTCTCTTCCTTTAGTGAGCTTTATTTTATTGTGCTGAAAAATCTGGAAATGGCCAGCAATGGTGTGATAGTGTTGATAAAAATGCTCAGTGATGCAGTCCCACAAGAAGGTCCTGGGTTCACATCCCAAGGTCTTCCTGTACATGTTGAGTGCATAAATATGCCTGTGATTCTGACTGGCCCAGCCTGGGGTGGATTGTGGCATGAAAACTTTGTTGAGGGTGTGTTTTGAGAGGTTATTTCCTCATCCAAAGGGTGGATCTAACAGAAGACTCAAGGCACTGATGTCATGTTGTTTATTGTTGAGTTTAGGGTAGGCTTGCAAATTCCATAGCGGTACTCGCAAGCACCTCCTCCCTCTTGAAGCTTATAATATGCCTGGAGAACAGTTGGAAGTGCTTCATCCCACTTGGAACTCATAACATGGAACTGAGTTGAGCCAAGTCAAGGCCATGCCAAGCCAAGTTCATCAGGGCTGACCTAGCAGAACCAAGGCCTAGCTAGCTAACTAGCCAGGTGCTCCCTTTCTTTTAAAAGGACTGCAGACAATGATGGCTCATTGCCAAAACCAAACTGTTCCATGTGCACACGTACATTACATTAAATGGTGTAAAGCAGCAAAATCATAATTACATAACAAATGCACAAGCCACACTACAACTAATAATGTAAGTTGTTTACCCTGTGGCCTTCAAACATGATAAGATAGGAGATGAGGGAGCCAGACTAATCTTGATTCCATTTTATCTACATGGTCTCTCTCTCTCTGTTTCTTGCTCATGAAACAAATAAATAAAATAAAAAAAATATATACTAGTCCCATAGCCTAGTTTTTATGGAAACAATCTCACATGGCTGACTACAATTAAAGCCCCTGTCCCGCAGCTTGAAAAACATGCTAGGTGTGTGTGTGTGTGTGTGTGTGTGTGTGTGTGTGTGCACCTGAAATGCTGACAAGATCGAGAAATGGAGAAGGCCTTCAGTGTGTGTGTGTGTATGTGTGTGTGTGTCTGTGAGCACCTGAAATGTTGACAGGATGGAGAAATGGAGTAGAAGGCCTTCAGTGTGACCATGCCCTATTGGAAAGTGCTTTCTCCCCTATCCCACGCTCTCCTTCTCTCTCTGTCTCTTAGCCTTCTGCTAATTATACATTAACAAATAATAAGCAAAAGAATATTAGAAACTAACTTGTGTTTAATAAAGACAACATGAGATGAATGTATTGTGGTGTCTAAAACAAGTCTGTCACAGCCTGTGCCCTCATCTTGGTTCCTCCCTGTTACTATCAGAGTCGTCTCCAGGGGTTCCTTGGTGCCCTCTATGGATATAATCACCACCCCACTGCACAGAGTGATGATGACATTCAAGTGTGGGTGATGTGTGTGAAAGTCCAACTTAAATAAAACATAGAAGTGGATACCAAACCGTTTAACATTTAAACTCTTAGTGATTTCTGAAAAAATGTCAGTGTATGTTAATGCTACATTGTGAGGATTATGTAAACTGATATGCTCTTTACAACTGATGAGTGAGGATGACTATCATCCAGGTAGTATATATATATTTTTCTTCTGGAGAGGTTATTTTTTGCTGTAGGGCACGTGTACTTGCCAGATAGAGAGAGACAGGGAGACAGAAAGCGAGAAATCACCCCCCAGGGGGAATGGACATGCCACAATCCCTTATCCTCCATTATTCTCTTGGGATCTTGGGCATGCACGCACACTCACCCAGTATGAGTTTTAAGCCACCGGGTCCGTGACATGAACCGTGGTCGACTACGTGGGAGTCCAGTGACATAGCCATTATGCTAACTGCTGGTCCCAATATATATATATATTTTGGAGAGATTTTTGACATAGGGTGCATGTGCTAGCCAGACAGAGAGAGACAGAGAGACAGAAAGTGAGAAATCACCACCCCCCACCAGGGGGATGGCCATGCCTCAATCCCTTCTTCTCCATTCTCCTCTCGGGATCTTGGGCATGCACGCACACACACCAGCATGAGTTTTAAGCCACCGGGTCCGAGACACAAACTGCAGTCGACCACATGGGAGTCCAGCGACATAGCCATTACGCTAACTGCTGGTCCATCCAGGTAGTATATTAACCACCTAAATATAACTCTCTCCCTGAAAGTAACTTTGCTCTTATTGAAGAGCAACTAGTAATAAAAATTCCTCCTATTCTCATGATGACTCAGGGTCAAGAAAATGGAGTCTTACTTCTGCAACAAGAGATATTGCACAGATTCATGGCACCTTACAAACACAGGGACTAGTTATCTCCTGGG